GTCTCCTTGGGGGGCGCGGGGAGGTGATCTGGGTTCCTATCTAGTACACGCAGTCATGCTCCTCTCTGCTCAATGCAGAGAATGGAAACTAACCTATAATTATAGGATGGAAACTATATAGTTTCCAGAGGATGGAAACTAACCTATAATTATACAGTTGATGGTGCTCTCTGCCTCTATTGCGCAATGCCACCAGGCAGGCTTTGTACTGGACACTTTTTGTTGTTGTTAATCCTCACCTGAGGGTATTTGTCCATTGATTTTTAGAGAGAGTGGTAGGGAGGGGGAGAGACAGAGAGAAACATCAATGTGAGAGAGACACATTGATTGGTTGCCTTCCACAAATCACCCAGAACTGGGGATAGCCTCAACCGAGGTACATGCCCTTGACTGAAATATAATCTGTGATCCTTCAGTTCTCAGGCTGACGCTCCATCCACTGAGCCAAACCTATTAGGGCTTATTTTGTTTTTTAATTTTTTTTAATTGATTTTAGAGAGAAAAGGAGAGGGAGAGAAATAGAAACATCAGTGATGAGAGAGAATCACTGATTGGCTGCCTCCTGCACATCCCCCACTGGGGCTAGAGCCCGCAACCCAGGCATGCGCCCTTGACTGGAATTGAACCTGGGATCCTTCAGTCCGCAGGCCAATGCTTTATCCACTGAGCCAAACCAGCTAGAGCACATGCTATGTTCTTGATCCTAAAACAAATAATGTTATTTATTTCCTAATTCTGATGATCTGAAAAGAAAACAAATTAAAGGCAGAATTTTGGGTAGAATAAACATAATGCTACTTGAATATTGCATTTCTCTAAGACAGTGGTTCTCAACCTCCTGGCCCTTTAAATACAGTTCCTCATGTGGTGACCCAACCATAAAATTATTTTCGTTGCTACTTCATAACTGTAATGTTGCTACTGTTATGAATCATAATGTAAATATCTGATATGTAGGATGGTCTTAGGTGACCCTGTGAAAGGGTCGTTCGACTGCCAAAGGGGTCGCGACCCACAGGTTGAGAACCACTGATTTAGAATGTTTGATTTTATCAGATGTAGCATGTATCAGCACTTCATTCCTTCTATGGCTAATATTCCATTGTGAGTTTGTACCACATTCTGTTTAATCCATTCATTTGTTGATGGACATTTGGCATCCATCCAATGTTAAACCAACAGACAATAT